TATGATAATTGTTAATGAGTTATATTAATCAACTGTATTGTTATGATGCAAAACAGGCTGACCTGTCGTGCCGTAGCACTCGCACAGAAGTGGGCACAATATTCACCCAGGGAAGCTTTCTCACACTCAAATACATCACCGATCCTTACAGTAAATCCGATAATGGGTTTCGACTTATTATCACTGCATTCAAAGAAGCGCGTAAGTTATCCATCGGTTTACTAATGGTTGTAAAATATGAATTAATGACTACTTTATTCATAAAGCGGTTCACTGTAAAGATCACAAGTGCTTGAATTCATTCTGCATATCGAGAGACTTGTCCTGCGATGGCATTAACCATTGCGGAGACAATAGCGATGAGACTAGCCATGCCTCGTGTACAGGTATGCTATTGTTAAGTGATCACGGTAGATTGTTTAAACTGAAATACTAAATGTAATGAATGGTATGCCAACAGATCCAGAGGTGTTTGACGGCCATATATTAGGATTAGAAGCGAATACATTCATAGGTCTAATAATAACAGTGTTTATAATATGTTCAGTTTGTGTGGTTTGTGTTGCCATTTGTTTGTGTAAAAGAGACCGATTAATACAACACCAACAGCAGAGAATAGCACTGCATCCCCAGGGCTCACATCCAGCACTGGCACATCCACAGACATACTCAAGTTAGTCACCATAATTGGCATTAATTCATTATTTTTTAAGCATTCATTTCATAAACGATTGATTTTTTAAAATAATTTTTTATGAATTGAATTCAGTTATAACTGAGAAATGTTTTATACTTATAATAATATTTTAACGATAATAATAATAATTTAATTTTTATATTTTTCTAAATTTAATTCATGTTTTTAAGAATTTAATTTTGTAAACTATGTGAATCCGATCACTTTATCAAATGTAATATACAGTTAATGTAATTTTATTTTAAATTTAATGTAATTTTTTTACTCATTTGTAATTAAATAATTAGTTTTATTTTTAAAAATTGTGTTCAATTAGGAATAAAAATATAAATAAAAACACAAATAAATGGAGTTATTACAATAAATTATTTAAAGTATTCATTTTCTGAAAAATACTTTTGACTTAAAATAAAACTAAATACCAATTGAAAACATTGCTATAACTGTATAATAAAGGGCGACATTTGAGTTAATTATTTAATTATATAATATTACGAGTATAAATTATAAGCACTAATATAATATAATTTAATTATAAAATAATTTTCTTTTTCAATTATTGAAAATTATATTTGAATGCAAATTCTTAATACAAATTTGACTTTAGGTGGAGAACAGCAGAGGTTCGCAACCTTACCATTAGAGAGAATTAGAGATAAGCCGCCGCCATATCCGGGAAACTTGTTTACCCCCGCAGTCGGAAACGCACATCACTCGCAGGTACTCTTTACCACCAAATGATTTCTTGCAAACGTAAACGTCTTGTTCGCGTTCGGAGACTAAAGAGACCGACTGTGCCATCACTGCCCATACTTCCACTGCCGGCGCGGGGGGAATGGCTCGTATGATATGACATGATAGCAGTATAATACAGTATTTTTAAACAGTCACCACACCATTTAATTTCTTTTTACTCGCAATACTATTAGTTATTACTTTCCATTTTGAAAAACTTAAGCCAAAATTTTTACATTTGAGAACAAGTTTTATTAAGATTTGACTTATAAAATGAGAATTTGAACAAATTTGTAAAAATTTTATATAATTCGTGATTTATAATTGATTTTATATGTCATGAATCCTATAATAAAAAGTTATTTGAGAAATGGGGGTAAATTCTTTGCGATCAATCGGTGTCCCAGTCCTTTAGCTACCAGTCCGGATGACACCATTTTGGCTCCAACTGCTTCCATACCAACGCCAACACTCTTGACACCGGTTCCAAATAAGCCGACCCCAGCACCTGATTAGAGGTAAACATTTTAATCAAACCATTCAATTAACGCTCGAATCCTATAATACCAGTCAAAGCGGTTTTGGCGCCGACTACCACAGCCACGGGTTTAAGGACGAGGTGACCCAACCTAATGAGACCATTCTTGAACACCTCTCCTCCGTGCTCTACATTGAAGTCCCAGATTTGCTTTCCCTCTTCAGCTGCGGTCACGAACTTAGCCATAGCTCCGGCGCCCAGTGAGATGGGGACGGCTACTAGTTTGCCAGTCACTCCACTTACGACACTCGATCCGGCGACGGCNTTTCTCAAATAACTTTTTATTATAGGATTCATGACATATAAAATCAATTATAAATCACGAATTATATAAAGTTTTTACAAATTTGTTCAAATTCTCATTTTATAAGTCAAATCTTAATAAAACTTGTTCTCAAATGTAAAAATTTTGGCTTAAGTTTTTCAAAATGGAAATTAATAACTAATAGTATTGCGAGTAAAAAGAAATTAAATGGTGTGGTGACTATTTAAAAATACTGTTTTATACTGTTATCATGTGATATCATACGAGCCATTCCCCCCGCGCCGGCAGTGGAAGTGTGGGCAGTGATGGCACAGTCGGTCTCTTTAGTCTCCGAACGCGAACAAGACGTTTACGTTTGCAAGAAATCATTTGGTGGTAAAGAGTACCTGCGAGTGATGTGCGTTTCCGACTGCGGGGGTAAACAAGTTTCCCGGATATGGCGGCGGCTTATCTCTAATTCTCTCTAATGGTAAGGTTGCGAACCTCTGCTGTTCTCCACCTAAAGTCAAATTTGTATTAAGAATTTGCATTCAAATATAATTTTCAATAATTGAAAAAGAAAATTATTTTATAATAAAATTATTTTATATTAGTGCTTATACTCGTAATATTATATAATTAAATAATTAACTCAAATGTCGCCCTTTATTATACAGTTATAGCAATGTTTTCAATTGGTATTTAGTTTTATTTTAAGTCAAAAGTATTTTTCAGAAAATGAATACTTTAAATAATTGATTGTAATAACTTCATTTATTTGTGTTTTTATTTATATTTTTATTCCTAATTGAACACAATTTTTAAAAATAAAACTAATTATTTAATTACAAATGAGTAAAAAAATTACATTAAATTTAAAATAAAATTACATTAACTGTATATTACATTTGATAAAGTGATCGGATTCACATAGTTTACAAAATTAAATTCTTAAAAACATCAATTAAATTTAGAAAAATATATAAATTAAATGATTATTATTATTATCGTTAAAATATTATTAAAAAGTATAAAACATTTCTCAGTTATAACTGAATTGAATTCATAAAAAATTATTTTAAAAAATCAATCGTTTATGAAATGAATGTTTAGAAAATAATGAATTAATGCCAATTATGGTGACTAACTTGAGTATGTCTGTGGATGTGCCAGTGCTGGATGTGAGCCCTGGGGATGCAGTGCTATTCTCTGCTGTTGGTGTTGTATTAATCGGTCTCTTTTACACAAACAAATGGCAACACAAACCACACAAACTGAACATATTATAAACACTGTTATTATTAGACCTATGAATGTATTCGCTTCTAATCCTAATATATGGCCGTCAAACACCTCTGGATCTGTTGGCATACCATTCATTA